CCCCGTCCCCGTCCCCCCCCCGATTTTAGGCTTTGTGTTATTCACTAAAAATCATGCTGCAGTTAGAAATCTGCAGACGGTATTGCACTGACTGTTCTGGTCGTTGCCTGTACTAGTGTTAAACTCACCCAAAGCAGGCTGCAGATCTCGTCTTGCTTACTTTTAGTCCGTGCTCTTGAGGCTGGACTGGTACCCCCTGCCCAGGTTGTCCACCATGTTGTGGACGCACAGCTGGCAGTGCAGTTAATCTAGTTCCTAATTATTTCCCTCCTCTCAAGGAGTGCAAGAGCTTAGGAAAATTTTTTCAGAGGGAATAACTCATACTGTCTGTGTGGCTGGCTCACTGGATGATTACCACAGGTAGGACAAGGAAAATATATTGGTCAGTTCTTGTTGTTTCTGGTTAGGTTTTATATTCAGTTTTAGATGTTATTGTGACATATGGGTTGCTGGAAAACACGTGTTTTTGGAAAAAAAAAAAAACCAAACCAAAATGCTTGCTCTTTATCTAAACTTGTTTGTTTGTTAAATCTTGGGACTAATATTCTACTGTATTGAATCCAGAGCACCCCTCAGCAGCATTTAGTAATCTTCCTGTTGATCGACAAACTGTTGCAGCACTGTTGGGCTAGGCCTTTCACAGTGGTGATACTGGTTTGGTGGTAGGGGCAAAAATTAAGCAACATGTCTAATCTGTAGTCTTTGTATAGTTTTGAGTCTGCATCTGTGCATTATCTGTCTAACAGAGGACAGAATTGCAACCCTTCATGACATCAGCCTTGATGATGGTAGTTGACCTTCTTACAACAGATTTTATTTGCTACTGCTCAGTGTTGGTCAGGTATTAAGCTTTAGTGATAATGACAAGTTTCTTTAGTCTCTAATTGTTTTAAATTATTTTAGTGTTCAGGAGTGACCAAGAGATATAGACCAAGATGTTAGTTAAAGCTGTACTGGTGAGGGGCTTTTTCAGACATTTTGAAAAGTACCTGTTTTCATTTTAAGGTTCTGGCCCCACTGCTGTATTAGTCGTACATGCCACTTGAGCTGCTTGCACTGGACCAAGCAAAGAATCAGTACTGTTCCAAGGATAGTGTTTTCAGGTAGACAGTTACCCATGTGTAACATTGAACTGCCATCCATAGCCTTAGAAGCCAAAGAAGTTTGCTGAATTTACAGAAAATGCCTTTTTGCATTGTGGTAGTGGTGTTTAGTGAGTCCATTCTGAGGTTCTTGATGGTTTTTCAGAGTGGTGGCAAAGTAAATGGGTAACTGGAAGTGTGATCAAGAGATTTGTTTGAGAAGCACTTCTAACCTAGCACCAGATTTTTTTTTTTTTAATTTGTGTGTGTTTGATATGCAACTAATATATGGTTGTGGAAATACTCGTTGTTATAAAAGGAGCTTCACAACAAACTCTTTAGGTGTTTGAAAGTGTAGACTTCAGTGCTCTAAACCCATGTGAAACTTGCTATGTTGGGAAAAAATGGAGGAGAAGTAGAGAATAGTGAAGACAACTGCTTGTCTTATGTAGTTTGGCAGGAGCTTAGCACATTTCATGAGTACAAATACACATGAGCACTTCACGACCTTAATGAACTCATAAGAAATCCCTGCCAACACTGTACTGTAAAAATGTGAAATACTCAAGTTCATGAATACTTTTGTAATAATGTCAGTACTTTGACAATTTTGGAATGACTTGATGTGATTTTCAAATAATGCCTTAGAAAATTTTGCAAACGCAGAGTTTTCCTTTCAGGGAACTAATTGAAATTTTGGCAATTTCAAGAAACCAGAAGCTTCCACAACCAGGAGAAGAGAGCCAGGTAAGCTGACTTTCTAAACTCTATTTGGGTAAGCACAATGCTTTACTTCTAATTCTTCTGTTTTCTTTATTTCTTCCTTTGTCTTTGCCTGTAGTCAGGCTAATGGTGGTGTTGAGGTTTTGGCCCCACTACAAAGGCATTCTTGGTCCTCATGTTGTTGTTTGTTTGTTCATTTGTTGTATGCGTCATAGTCTGTTTCTGCAAACAGGAAGATATTTTGTTTAATTTTTCATGCAAACAGAAATACTTATATGGATGTCAGTTGCTCTTTGCAGCACGATTGAGGGTGTGTTGTTACTCTAGCTAAATTAAAAGTTTTACAAAACTCTTTTTCAATAGATCCTGGAACTGCTGATTCAGAGAGATGGAGAGTTTCAAGAGCTAATGAAGTTGGCAGTTGATCAGGGGAAAATCCATCATGAAATGCAGCTTTTAGAAAAGGTAGTAGAAAAGAGGGATAATGATATTCAGCAGCTGCAGAAGCAACTAAAAGAAGCAGAGCACATACTGGTAAGTTCATAATGATGTGTTTGCTTTTGAGCACCTACTTGTGAAAAAGGTGGTTCTGGAGAAAGTGGTGTTAGTTTGAGAGGATTTAAATATGTAAAACTTCATAAGAGCTTAGTGGTCTGGGGTTTTTTCTTCAGTAGTCAAATAGTAGTTAGTTATTGTGGTATTCAGTTTTGTTTTATAATGCTAATTTTCTTCCAAACCTGTTTTGAAAATGTTCAGTGAATAGTTTCTTAAAATGCAATTAAATGCAAGGGTTTGTTCACGGAGCCAACTTTATGTAGAAGTTTGCAAATTAAAGATGCATTGAAAGTTTGGTTTAGTTTGTTTGTTGTTTTTTCACAACTAGGCAACAGCTGTTTATCAAGCAAAGGAAAAGCTGAAATCAATTGAAAAGGCAAGAAAAGGTGAGTATCTGTGACTGTACATACTACGTAAATGCAGTTGTAAAGGAAGTTGCTTGTGAGCTCAAGTTAGGGTTGGATTTTTTTCTTTTTAATTCTAACATCACAGATTTTAGATGCTTTATGTGTAAACAGATTTCCATTTCATTATGAACAGAAACCCATTTTCTTGGAATAAAGACAGGAATTCATTATTTTTTGTGGCAGACATATCTGGATATTAAACTTGAATTCAAGTGTCTCAACACTCTTCTTGGACTGATAATAGTATATCTGATTACCTAAGTGTCTCACCAAATTGCCTTAGTAGGTCTGCTGAGGAAAGGGAGAGAATGTTTGTATGCCTGTGAGTTATATTTGACAGACTGATGAGCTGGTGATACTGATTTCTATTTGTAGCAATTCCTGCCACTCTGTGGCACTTACCAAGCTAACCTTTTTTTTTTTTTGGTGTGTGTGGGAGGCATTTTCTTGGTGTTGGTTTTTTTTTTTACGGTGTCTTCTGTAATTTTGTTATACTTCTTTCATCTAAAAAATCAAGGAATTTAATAAAGTTTCTTTTACTGTAATACAGGCATATATTTAGAAGGGCTGCTACATGTATGCTCTACAACTACCAAACAAAATTATTTACGACAGAAAATTCCATAATAAATCAACTGTTGAAGTTTTTTTACAAATTGTGCTTGTCAAGGACAGTGCTTAAGAGGTTGGTTTGTGTTTTTCACAAGGTTGAAGAACTGTTGAGATTGAAGGTGTATTGAACTCATGGCTGCAAAATCAGTTCACTGCAAAGCTCATCCTTGCATAGTCTAAAAGTCCTCTCAACAGTCATTGCATTTGAAGTATGCTTTTAATGTTTGACAAAATTATATTCCCAATCTTTTAGATATGTGTCTAATATTCTGAGATAAGTGAATGATGCAATCTCTTCAGAATACAGTAACTTTTCTTCCATTCTTCCAGGTGCCATTTCCTCTGAAGAAATAATTAAATATGCCCATAGGATCAGTGCTAGCAATGCTGTTTGTGCCCCTCTGACATGGGTACCAGGTAACTATCATATTTATGACAATGATTTTTTTTTTTTTTTAATAATAAAGCATGGACAATCTGGTCTTATAATGCTTTTATACAGTGAAAAACACTGGGGTTTGTTAGACTAACATTGTTTTCTGCTGTTACATTTAATATTTTCAACAAAAATGGATATCCATTGACTGACTGGCCTCTGCTCCTCTTTACTTTTTTTCCTCTGAATGTTTGCCCCAATTATAAGTTAGAACCAAGTATGTTAGTTAGAACCAAGTATGTTAAAGGCTTTTCCATGTCCTCCGTTGTGTTTCCTCCTGCACCTTATAGTATTATTTTCAGAGGATGTTAGTAATCAGCAAAGTCGGAAGCAGGGCTTTCGTTACATCAGGTTTCAGTTTTGGGAACTATCCTCCTTGACCAAATTAGAATGTGTTTTTTCAGATTCCTGTCCTTGCTGTTTAGCTGTGAAGTAGCAGGCAGAGCAACGATATCTTATAAACATGGTTGTGGTTTTTTGTTTTGTTTTGGTTTTTTGATGTGCCTTTTCTGACAAGTTTGAGTGAACAAAGAAAGTCTTAAGTGAAAAACAGACTTGGATTTTAACAAAACAGGTGTGTTGCTCATTGCTCATCCAACCAATCTGAGTATGGGTTTTTTTGGTCCAGAAACTAGGCGTTGAAGAAAAAGTTAATGTCTGCAAGACAATTGTTAGATATTTAAAAAAATTCTTGTGCCTTTTTTCTTAAAGGGGACCCACGTAGGCCATATCCTACAGATCTGGAAATGAGGAGTGGTCTCTTGGGTCAGATGAACAACCCATCCACCAATGGAGTTAATGGACACTTACCAGGGGATGCACTCGCAGCAGGCAGACTGCCAGGTAAGAGAAACTCAGTTTTGTTTTGCTTTTCTTTATTCCTTGTACAGTCGTAACAATTATACATTTCCCTTAGCAAGCCAAATCAGAGTTAAAATAATAAAAATTATGGCCAGTGTTGTTCCCTAGCAGTGAAGATCTCATAAATAAAATTAACAATTAGAAATTGCATAATTTTATTTCATGCTAAATCATACTGCAGACACTACACCTAAGTCAATATAAGCAAAACTCGGTTACCCTTCAATTCACTTATTTTAAATTACTGTAAATTAAGTGATATGAAATCACATTAGAAAGAAGCATTTTCAAAGCAAACTTTTCTTAGCAGTGATGACAGAAAGTATGGAATTGTGAAAGCTGTATTTGGAAGAAAAGGTTTATTGTCATCCCCTACCTTCCTTTAAATCTACACTCTATATAGCAAGACTGTGTGCTCAGAACTTATGGATTTAAAAGACATTGCAAAGCACAGCTGGTGAGGTAGTACCTTAGGTGTAGGCATCAAGCTTTAATCGCTTAATTGCATAGTGAAATGCGCACTTCCTTTGATTTTAGGGGATTCATTGATTCATGCTAAAACAGAATTTAGTGGTAAATTACAGTAACTGAATCAACCATTCAGTAGTTGTGTACCTGTGCAACATTAATCTACCATGGTTAGACTAAATTGTGGAAAAATTCTTAGTTTGGATTCATAGGAGATCTATAACAGTTCTCATCTGTCTGTAAAGCCACTTGCAGATGTTATGGAAAGCTTGTTTTCAAAAATCATACTGAATATATTAAAAATCCCTGTATTGTGACTCCAGTGGAGAAATAGTAAACCTGGATTTTGTGTTTCCAATCATCTGTCTAATCCTATTGTCACCTCTTAGGTAGTATCTTTAGAGACTTCTGCAGAGAGATATCCAGTTACTGAGTCCTTACTGAGTCTGCAAGCCAGCCACTAGGCTGCCTGGTAGCCTCAAAACTTTGAGGCTTCTTAGCACACACATTCAACCTGGTTTAATAGTGGACTGGTTCCGGCATTGAAGAATGGCCATAGAATGTAAAATGCTGGCATACAGTCTCAGCTGGTTTGAATAAAGTTAGTTGAACTCACCACAGCTGGGATGAGACCACCTGGGTACTATTGTTGGTCTTCCTAAAGTGGGCACAGAACTGGCATAAAGGCTGCATTATGTCCTCACGTCAGATTTAGAATCATAGAATGGTTTGGGTTGGAAGAGACCTTAGAGATCATCTAGTTCCAAGCCCCCTGCCATGGGCAGGGACACCTTCCACTAGACCAGGTTGCTCAAAGCCTCATCCAGCCTGGCCTTGAACACCTCCAGGGATGGGGCATCCACAACTTCCCTGGGCAACCTGTTCCAGTGCCTCACCACCCTGACAGTAAAGAATTTCTTCCTAATGTGTAATCTAAATCTACCCTCTTCCAGTTTAAATCCATTACCCCTCATCCTGTTGCTACATGCCCTTGTAAACAGTCGCTCCTGTTGGCCCCCTTTAGGTACTGGTAGGCTGCTATAAGGTCCCCCCAGAGCCTTCTCTTCTCCAGGCTGAACAACCACCACTCTCTCAGCCTGTCCAGATAGGGCAGGTATTCCAGCACTCTGATCATCTTCGTGGCTCTCCTCTAGAGCCGCTCCAACAGCTCGACTTCCTTCTTGCATTGGAGCGCCCGGACCCGGTCGCAGTACTCCATTTGTACTGCTAGGTAGTGCATGTGGTATTAGGGGACTGTGGCTGTACTTCAGATGTGGAATCTCAGGTGCCTGCAGACTTAAAGATCAGAAGCTACTATGTGTGGAGGGTCTTCTGAGTTAGGCAGCACCTGAGTGATAGTAAGTCTACCATATCTAACCCCTGCTTAGACAGTGCAGGGGAGTCCCATCTGCGTGGGCTTTTGTTCACTTCTTGGTCTGCCTAATTTAATTCTTGCTGTAAGCAGGAGATAGCTGGTTTCTTCTATGGGACAGACTTAGCTACAGTGCCTGGTAATAAGTGGAGAAGAACTGAAGCACAGCAGTAGGAGCATAAATTAAAAGGAAGGGAGCAGAAATGCAGTATAGGTGGGTACTGCAGATTTGAAATGGGAGCCATTTGGGGGCAAGGAAGGGAGAGACTGGGAAATGTTGTGGGGGGAGGGCAGGTTGGTAGGAAGTACAGAATGGGATGGCTTTGGAAGTAGGACGAGAAGAGAAGAAACAGTGAGAGCTTAGAGAAGTCAGAGGCAACTGAGGCTGGCCTGGCTGGGGCACAGTGGGGCATTCCCACCTCTGAAGTATCTCTGTGGCCCTGGTTCTCTAGTAGGATACTCTTCTCCTTTGCACTTGATGCACTGTATTTGCTGTTGGAAAAATTATAACTAAGGTGTTAGTGAAATTGGGATAAAACCTTTTACTCTGAATTTCTATGGTCTTTTTTTAATCTAATGTTTTCATCTATTTTTGCATAGTGACAGAGGGTGACCATTTCCGTTATTGCCAGTGGTTGTGAATGTTAAGTCAGTTCAAGCTGTGCTTTGAAGGTGAAAAGCTCAGTATGAAGTTTTGAAGTGGAGTAATGAAAGATCAAGAGCCACCTACATGGGCCTCTTCGGCAGAGTAAGCTTTTACAGTGATAGAATGGCTCCATTGTGAGATGTTTTCCAGCTGTTACTGGAGGGTTTCATCTGTCCAAAATTCATGAAGGATTTTAAGATTTGTTTTAATTTTAAATTGGAGTTCTGGTTGAGCTCTCTTTTTGAATTTGTTGATATACAAAGCTGATAGTTTGATTATGCCCCTTTTTCTAGATGTGCTCGCTCCTCAGTATCCTTGGCAGTCAAGTGATATGTCAATGAACATGCTACCTCCTAATCATAGTAATGACTTCATGTTGGAGCCTCCAGGACACAATAAAGAGAACGAAGATGATGTAGAAGTTATGTCAACAGACTCCTCAAGCAGCAGCAGTGACTCAGACTAGGTGCAAGAGGGACAGTATCCCTAGTAGACCTTTCCTGTGGTGAAGGTAGGTTGGATGCTGTTTGTCACAAACTGCAATACCCTTTTGTTACGCTGGCAGCCCTGTGTAGGGAGAAGATTACAGCTGGCTCAGAAATAGGGTGACTAATTTAAAACCGTGGACTTCAGATTTCTTTTTTTTTTCCATTAGATGTTCAAGCAAAACGACTGGGAGCTTTCTGCTGGAAGAGAGATGTCACATTTCCAGTGATTATGTAAATGTGTGAATGTGTATGTTTGCAAGAGGTGTGTGTGTGTGTGTGTGTATATTTACTATACAATGGATGACTAAAGTTCCTGGGAAAAAAGGTGTAAGGGGAATCCCCTTGTTATGTTTGTTAGTAACTTTACTCTTTTGATGATAGCCTTTTCTATGGCACAGAAAAAAGGCATGAAATTTGTAATTCTAATTAGTATAATTTTTGTTACTGCCTAAATCCATGTTCTGGATCATCTTGTGTGTGCGGAGAACAAAAATATGGCAATAAGGTGTAAAAAAAAAAGTTTGTAATTATTGTAATATATAATGAATGATTTGTCATAAATAAACTCAGATTTGATGTAACTTTACATTTCATTTTACAAACTTAAATCCTGTGTGAGTTATTGTGTAACTTCAGTTCTCAGCACACTTTATCCCAGTATGTGGTTGAATTCTGATGGAGTTTCATAAGTTTGTACTCCATTTTCCTTTTTGCAAAATGCCAAGTCAGTATTAGAAGCAGCTGAGGAGTCAGGAACTAAAGTCTGCCCTCTCTAGCTGAGCTTTATCAGGTACACAGGTAACTGGGCAGACCCCGAGGCAGTGATGCCCATTCACAAGAGTTCACCAATACTTTGGTTAAGCATTGTGGGACCCTGGAGATGGCATGCTTTTGGGCATGCTGCATGTTCAGCTCCTTTCAGTTCAAAGTGCTCACAGATTGTTTATTCTTGTCACCTATAATATTTTCAGTTCTTTGAACCTGCTAATTTGCTTACTTCAGCAGTTGCATTTCCTGCCTCAGCTACAATGTTCTTTTATCTTTCGAAAGGCACTTCCCTTGGCTTTCATTTCCTTGTTCTGTTTTCCTTAAGGAGTCATGACAGCTACTTTTCTCTTTAGTTTTCTGATTTGGTCAGAGGGTTACTTATGTGAACTGTTGCTCACGGTGGTTACAGGTTTCTGCCCTGCAGTGAGGCTTCCTGAAGCACAGATGACAATTGTACTTGTCCATTGTGTACATTCCTCACAGGAAACGGGATAAATCAGGTCCTTCCTCATTTGCTCAGATGATCTTTCAAAAAACACTGCCACCTCTGACCAACATAGGTATAAGTCCCATAAGGATGTAGAAATGGTCTCTTCAGTCAGGTTCAATCACATAATACATGGCAGTGTCTTTTGGTTTAAGAGAAATGGGGAATTTGGCTTTGCCTGAACTGTTCCTGTTGGGAGTATTTTCAGAGTAATTAAAATTTGACCTCTATTTGCAGTCTAAAGTTATTCTTATACATTTTAACCTTTATTCAGTATCAGCTTTTCCTCTTTGGTGTTTACCCTGATGTCTTTATAGAGAACTGTATTTCCTCTAATTCATGTTAATCCCAACACACCTCGCCTCTCTCAGTCATCCTAGTTAACCTTGCCTACCCTTGTTCTAGTTCATTGTTTTCTCTTAAACGTGTGATCAGAATCATACAGTATTGCAAATGCACATCTTATGACACAGCCACAGCTCAGTAGTCTCTTTCATCTTCTCATTTACAAGGACATTATATTCTTGGAATGAAATACAAATAGAGATAATTAATACTTATGGAAAGTGTAATGTACTCTTATTTGGCTATATCATGTGGTTCACTAACTGAAGTATTGTGGAGGTGGGTGATTGTCTCCAGACAGAAATACAAGTGAACAGAAGCAATGACCACTTCTTTTTCTGGGTTGTTTGCTCGTCTGTTGGAAGGATTACACAGGACCAATGTGTTACATCTAAGCAATAGGTAAGACGACAGCTCTGCCCACTGTTTGCTTAGCATAAAATCAGACTCTAGGTATTAGATGCATCCTAATCAATTTCTTTACATCAGTGCTCCAAACTATACACTGTTCAGGAGTACTTTTCCCAATGCTGGACAACTATAATGCCCTTTTAGGTGAATTCTGTCTATTACAAGCAATTTAGCAAAGCACAGTTTTAACTGTGTGTTCTGTTATTGAGTGGCTTAGGTGTGTACAGAATAGATTCTCCTGTTTAGCAAAAGTACCAAAAAACAAAGTAAACATAACATTTAGTTGAAAGGACTGAGTCCTAGGAGCAAAAAACTACAGAGAATCAGATTTTCTGGGGGAAAGGGAAAGTATACATGCATGATACATCAAAACAAGTTATTTAAGTTAGGAATTGCTGACAGCTGATTGCAGTAATGCACTGTAGTCATTTAATCAGTCCACTTAGAAAGGATACAGAAACCCTGACATATGCAGATAATATTTGTGTCCTCATTCAGTAACTACTTGTATATTTACAACAGATAGAATGAATATAACCATTAATGGTAACAAAGTATTTATTGCATGACAAACCATTTCACAATGACCCATTTCCCCATCAGGAGCTAGATGCCTGCTAAAATTTAAAATTGCAGTAAATTATTTTAGTCATTTTTTTTTTCATTATTCTTTGGGACAGATGGGCAGGACATCTGTCAACTCTTCCTACAGTCTCTTTGTTGACAGCTGAACAGAATAATTTTTAATGTGCATAAAGTTGCTTTCAGGAAGAAAATCTCCACTTTTGAATAGAAAAATAAGCTTTCTACAAAGATACAGTAGTAAAGGAATTTTCAGTGATATAAAGCAGTTTTGAAATGGGAGATAACATTATCTTCTTTCTTCACTTTAGAGAAAGAATATGGGTCCTAAGGGAAATTGTACATAGTTAATACTTAAAATGCTAAGCAGGAGTCTTGCAATCGTCAGCAGCAGCCTTCCTTATATCACTCATATAACTCTGCTTCTCAGCAAAAAGAGCCATTTCCATTTAAGAAAATGTATGTACAAAGCAAGGAAGAGCTTTAAAGCCTCTGAGCTTGTTTCTTTTAAGAACTGACAAGTCATCTCATAATTTCAGACAATTTTAATCTCTCAGTATTGTGCTTATGTTTAATTTAAAAGAAGTTAAAGGTATCTCAACCATTTTGTACAATGGCTATATGTAAAGGAAACAGATAAAAACTGTTTGAGAAGGCTGAAGAGAAAAAAAAATGAGCCAATTAGTGATTTAAGAGTCATATCCTAAAATTAATTGCTGATGTCCTAATGACTACAGCTGGAAAAGAATCAGATTTGGTTACAGATCCCAGAAAAATTAAAAATATAAACTCATTGTTTTTGTATATAGCTTTGTGTACTGTGATTTAATTCACTACCATTAATTCATTTAGTCACAGCAAACTGAAAATTAACAGTTCTACCAAAACTGTTCTATCAGTAGCCATACAGAATTACACTCATCTGTACCATTTAATACTGACATCCCCCTTTAGCCAAAAAGTATGACTATCTGCTGTAGATTTACACCCATAAATGAGATGGGTTTATACAATGTTCCTTATGTCAGCTTAGTAGAACACTGTTGGCACCTCTCTGTTAAACTATTAAGCGTTAGTAACTTGATCAGGAATTAAGATCAACTCCAGAGATCTGAAACTCTTCTGCAGATAAAAGCTAATGTAACTGAGGCTGCAAGCGAACTCTGTAATGAAAGGGGGTGACAAGAAGGGTCAAGGAAATTTAATTCCCTACAGCAAGCCACTGCAACGCTTTCATGTTTATAATACCCTGATTTTCAAGTATATACTACCGTCTGCAGGAGAATGAGGCACTGTCTAGAAAATGTGACTTTTGTTCACGACAGTATCTTAACTGAAGCTATGGGACAAGGCTAAGTTTAAAAACTGGTCCAAGGTGTACAATTACAGGAAAGCAGCATGATAGACAAAGGAGGTTTATCTAGAAAACAGGACTGTGTTTTAAACCAATCAGCATCTTCTTGGGCCTGATGCTGCAACTGGTTCCAAGTGAGTAAGCTTGGAAGTCATTCAGACTTCTAAAGGGCCATTCATCTATGCAAACATTAACCAGATAAAACACTGTGAGTCTTCTATAAAAGAAGACATTAATTGTTAACCACTAGAGCTAGAAATAGCTCTGGAATGAGAGACAGCTGCTGTGTGAAAGCACTGGATCCTTTGGCATCTTTTCTGTTTTGAGAAGGGTAACTGTTGTGGGTTAAGAACAGATTGCTTAAAGTTAACTCTGTTAATTTTTTTTTTTCCTCCCTCTTCTTCATAAATAGCTAGCAAGAGGCTGTGTTTTGGATTTAGGCGCAGGAGGACCTGATAAGGCCGATGTTTTGTTCTGCTGCCAAGGTCAGCAGACGAGCAAAGAGGCACAGCTGGTTGATAGCATAGGATTTGCGCTTATGTTAAGACTGAAACTCAGAATAGACAATGATTTATTCCATATCATGCACGTCACACTCAGTATATAGGTAGGAACACCCAGAAGAGTGCTCTCTTTTGCCTTCGCTCCGCTTTCAGTTTCGGTGCTCTCTCCTGGCTCCGCATGACGCTTAGCATGACTCTCCCAAGGCCTTCCCCCCTCCCCCACACACACCCCGGTCTTGGACGCTCAAATCGTTATCTCCATTCCGTGAGTTTTGGGATCCTCCCTCTCTGGGGGGATCGTTAGCTGTGGCCAGGTGGTCGTTTTCCCCACTCTGGTCTGGGACGCTCCGCCTGTTATCTCCGTTCCGTGAGTGCCTCCGGGAGCGGGGGAATTGTGAGCGTAGTTCTGGGGATCGTTAGCTGTGGCCA